ACACACACACACACACACACACACACATTTAGTTTGAACAGTAGGGCAAAAATGAATCATACATATTTAACTGAACCATAGCATATGACACTGTATTTCAGGCCTTACTACAAACGCTCGATCTATATAATTTCTGGACAATAACATAAAGCAACTTACCCACATAGTACGGTGTATAACATGGGGTCTGTAGTGGATTGTGCAGCGTGGTCTCCTTAGCAAAGCCAAAGTCTGTCAGTTTGAGAACCGCATTTCTCTCTTTAATTGTGTACAGCAAGTTCTCTGGCTGGAGAAAAGAAGAAACATGTCAACATTTCCTGATCCTATTCATTATGATTGAGGTGCATGATCTCTATCTCCGTGCACCTTTATGTCTCTGTGTGCGATGTTAAAGTCGTGGAGAAAATGGATGGCCGTGCCGATGTCCCTCATGACCTCAGATGCCTCTGGGAAGAAAAGAGGAAAAGACACAATCTCTCAAACAAGAAGCAAGTCCAATATCCCATAACAGGAGAAACAAACTTATAGTTGTGCTGCATTTTCTAACTTTTCTATTTGAACGTAAAAAATGGTGGATTCAATGTGCATTCTTCCTCTCTGACGTGTGATGTGAGCAGAATCCATCTCTCCATCTGTCCTCACCTTTCTCAGTGAAGGCCTGGTCTCCTCTGGCCTGGATTCGGCTGAACAGCTCTCCTCCCTCCATACTGGAGACAAAATAGTGAGCTTAGAAAATCAGAGCCACAAAAAGGCATCACGTTACACTGTGACAGGCAGGGAAACCTCACAACTGTGGAATAAACTGAGAAAAATATAAGATGATATAAACATTATAGTTTAGGGGATAGTTCACCCAAAAATGAAAATGCACTCATTATCTATTCACCACTATGCTGATGGAGACGAAGTAAATGGTGGCCACTTCTTTAAAATGTAAAAAACACAGAATGTCTCCATACTGCTCCTGTTTTTATTTTGTTTTTTACATCAATTGAAGTAAATGGTGACCAATTCTTCGGTCACTATTTAGTTCAATTGTGTTGGATTTTGCTGTAACACTGTTCACCCCTGTAACTCCAAAAGTGTTTAGTGGACTCAGACACTTCACCCACCCCTCCATCGGCACAGTGATGAGTAGATAATGAGTGAATTTTCATTTTTGGGTGAACTATCCCTTTAAGCTTAATGTAAATTCAATTACAAGGTGTTTACAGTAATCCAATCAGATTTTGCCATGATCTCACTCAGCCAATCATGTCCTTGCTGTCGTCTCTCGCTGTTTCATTTCAGTGATTGGCTGCGACCTCAGCTTTAAATATAGAAGTGCTTTACAGAAACCTTTCAGTTCCTGTCACAGAGAAATCATGTGACACTGAAACTCTAAGTGAGAGTTGTCTCCACATGATGAAAGAGAGGAAGATGACAATCAGAAAACATCTCGTCCAAAATAACCTTTAGGATTCATATGAAATGATAAAACAATGGTTCAAACTAAAATTCTATCAGTAATATGACGACTATCTATCTCCTCTGCCGTCTGATTCATTAATGTTTGTTTGCAACACAATAAAGTAACTCAATTAAGAATACACATATGCAATATATAATGCGTTTTTATTTATATATTTATATATGTAAATGTAGCTATTTTGATCAAATGTTAGTTTCAGAATCCTACATTTTCATACAAGTACACATCAAAGATAAGTCTGAAAGTCCCAACCAACCCCCACAGCCACCATCACTGTGACATGGATGTGGTTTAATGAGGATAAAGTAAGAACGTACTTTTTGTGGTCTGTGAGTAAAAAAATGAAAGCAGAGGCAGGCAGACACACACACACACACACACACACACACACACACACACACACACACACACACACACACACACAGTCAAGTCACCACACATAGTACACAATGTGATGAGAATTATTTAGTCACTGTTTAAAATTCCACTGAACACAGTGCTGGTTCTCTGGTGTCAGCTTCAGGTTTCTCTGAATTATTGTTGTTCTTCCCCTTTTACAAGTTGAGATGAGGGGTAATAAAAGGTCCGGAGTGCAACTACGTGTGTGTACGTCAAAGCACACAATAACTCCACTGTCACCCCAAACCCTAACCTGAACCCTGAAATCAAATCTTAACACTTGAGCCGCCCTGTGATGTTGAGAGGACAGGAAGGAGCAAAAACTCCTCATCATCACAAATATTTGTCCACATAACCCCAGAAAGACATATACGCACAAACACACACACAAACACACACACAAACACACACCAAAGTCATACAGGGTCTAATTGAAAACACTTTAACAGGACATGTGAAGCCCAGATGGAATGTGTCTCTATCTCACCATCAGTGCTGACGTCTGCACTTTGTCAGGTCAGGTTTTATGTCCAACCTTTAACATTGAGGAAAGTTCTGTCCTCTGTGGCACAGAGTTTATATTTGTGTGAAAACCTGCTAACATGTTTTCACATATTGGATTTATTTTAGAGCTATATTTTATTGAGAGGTAATTTTACTACATAATCTTTGGGTTATTATGCTTAGATGACCTCTAATGGTGTTTCACTGTGCCAGTTTTACTTTCCATTTATATTATGATGTGTGATTCGATCATAGGAAGAGTCATGGAGGAGACAGTTTTTTTGCTGAAAAATATACTGTTTGTAGAAAATAATTCAGTACAGAGGTTAATGTATTATTTTTCACAGTAAAAACACGTGGAAACATGTGGAGAGAGTGAGTGTAACGTCCTGTACAGACAACAAAAAGAAAGTGTATCAGTGCTGGATGTTTGTTAAGAGGTTTATTAAAATGAAACTCTAAAAAAAATTGAATTCACATTAACTGTTTCTTGACATCAAACTCATCACTGGGCTTGTGAAAAAAAATCTCAAATTAACCTCAACTTTTCAAGAAACGTTGTTATAAGTTTTATTTTTCAATGACTTCATTAGACACAGGGGGAATCAGTTTCATCTGAAAACCAATACAAAATATCCACTACAGAAATCTACGAAGGGGCATGGTTACTAAGGAGAATATTCAGATCGGGCATGATGTGTGATCTGGTGTAATGTGAATCTTACCACTCCATGATGATGAGCAGGCATTTTTTCCCATGATGCATGTTTTCATACAGGTTGATGATGCGGACAATGTACGGTCCTCCTGAGACTCGCCAGTGAAGCTCCACTTCTCGTCTGGCTTTGGGGCTGTCGTACAGAATCTGGACGCAGAGACGCAGAAAGAGCGATGAATACATAACCAATTTGTGAATAATAGAAAATATACTTTAAGTGTATGGCAGGATGCTCAGTTATACAGCGCTCAAATATTATTGTTCATTCACTTTTGGTGGAATTACATTATGTTTTATCATTTGTCGTTCAGAGCATGAATCACAGAATCCATAATAGGACATTGAGTTCAATGATCTTAAATGACATTTTGAAGACAAATTAAGTTTCATTAATTGTATAAGTCAATTAAAGTTGCAACAATTATTCAATGAATCCACTTGTAGAATGACAGAAAACTCAAAAACACCGTCAGCTATTTTTACATCATCGCTAATGAAATATAGCTGAAGTTTGGACTGCTGATGGGACAGAAAAGACAATTTAACCCTCACATACTGTTCATATTTCATGCCTTCGGTCTGCCTTCGGCCTATGGTCTTGGTCAATTTTAACCAAGGCCAAGAATTCTCTCATAATAAGTATCTGTATCTCTAACTGTCTCTGTACTGAATTTTGTACTATAGATCTAATTAGAATGTATAAATAGCCTATCTGACATTAATAAATGGATGATTAATCCTTAAGTGTTGTTTCAGAAAGCAGGGAGAGTGTACTTTTTAGGTTTTACACCAAACAATTTTGAAGAAAAATATCTACTATCACACAATATCACGTCCTGTTTTACCTAAGGCATTAAAACCTAACAGCCATAACGATTTGAATATATTTTATTGAAAGTGAGAATGGCAAGAACATTCTGCAACTGTTGGGATTTCTTATATAACCATTAAAACCGTTAAAACTGAGTCACTGGAATGACATTTTCCGCTGCCATCCCGCCTACTGCCTGATGTGGAAGTGAGGACTAACTGATAGTATTGTTATTCAATATAAATGTCTTCATCGGAGGGGCTGTAATCAGAGTTTTCCTCCATATTGTCTTCCTGCTTCCTCATCTTGGAAGATCGGCTCATGGGCCTTTGCACAGTGTGTCTATAGATGCTATAACCTCAGTCACTGAAATGGAAGCTCACCTACCTTTATAATCTTATGACCCCCTGAACCCCTCTTTTGATCTCATCTAGTTCAGAATAAATGGATTCTAATTAGTTTTTATTTTTAGATTATTTTGTGACATTGCTTGTGCTCATGTCTGTGTCAAAGCCCCCTCAGACCTCTGTATGACTTCTGTTCCTTATGTGCACCATATTGTATAATCTCTCCAAAATCGCTGTTTTACTCTTTGACTGTTTCCAGATTCTCCTGTGACCCTTCAAGGACCAGTGGGTCCTGTCTCTGAGGTAACCTGGGCAAATGTGGAGGGAACACAAACAGTTCTCTGTCAAATTTGACAGAACAGTATGGGTTTAAAGTCATTAGTTTGGGTTCATGATGCACACTAATCTTAACATTTCACGATATTAAATAGTAGAAATAATTACTACATTAATTAAGAAAATAATTTGTTTTAATCGAAAATGATGTCGATATTAGAAAGCAAGATATTTATTATTACTATTAATCATTTCAGCTATATCACCAAGACTTATTACAGCATCTACAATCCCTCACTTCTACATCATTTTTTGTTACCCATATAATCAATATACTACTTGTTTGTAAAAAGCTTTAAATAATAAAAACAATACCAAAGCTAGAGATGTTTCTTAAGAACATACATGTGCTCACACAGTTTATACCTTATGAACATCAGAGTATCTCAAAGGGACTGAAACACGCTACGCTCAATCAACGAAGAGCAGGCTATACCAAATAAACGGAGACAGAAAATAATAAAGACATATCAAGAGACGCAGTAGAATTAGTGACAGAAGTCAGTTCACAAGAAGAATTGAAATCAATCAACTTGATTAACACTGCTTATCTTCGTTAACTAAGATTAAAGTCACTGGTAGTGGGGATCAAACCAAAAACCTCCTGGTAGTGGACAGGCAGCATTAAGCTCTGAGCTAACTCCCATTGGTCAGTTTGACTGTATCAGCTGTTAGCTATCATGTAAAGTGACAGTGAGGCTGAGGAGGGACAATGCAGTGTCAATCAATAAAAGCCATAAATCTGGGTTCAAGCCTTAACTCTCCTGACTTCGACGTCCATGTTCACCGCTGAACCACCATAACCCACAGAAAAATACATCTCACATTCCCCGAAGGAGTTTTCCCCAAAACTTAAGATTTTATAACATCAGAAGTAGTTGAGCTATTTGTTGTCAAAATTAGAGGGTGATCTGTAAATTAAAAAGAAATTTCAAAATGGATTTGGCTTCTAATTTCTATGTATGAAGAACTCGTATAAGCACCAATAACAATCTGAGCGCCATCTACACAATGATGAAAATTGGAAAGATATGAAGTTGAAATCAAATACAGAAAAGTTCAGTCCTTACTGACGAGGGCAGTCAATGGGATGCATTTCAGGACAAGCACCTGTGTGAGCCACTTTGTCTTATGGAAGCTGGAAGTTGTGTCCAATTAAATTACTTCACTAATCAAAACACTGTAGTGATAATAACAGTAATACCCAGCTAGAACTAAACCTTTTTGTTTGTTTGCTCATAACCTGAGGAATTATTGTAACACAGTACCCCAACCACGGAACAGTGATATCCACTGAGCCCCACACATGAGTACTGTACTTCAGATACTCATGTTTGTCTAATACCACAGAAATATGGACTATAACTGTGTTGTACTGCACAGTAACTGGTTTTCTAGCATCAATACAATAACTTGAGCACAAACAGCAGCTTGTCCACAAGACAGGATGTTTGTCATAAGGCAGATGATACACAAAAGATGTCACAGCTCAACGTTACACACACGTAATTTCCTGGAGACTCACACTAACCCTAACCACTGACCCAAAATGTGTCTTTTCTTTGAACTGGGGACATGGTTTTTGTCCTTAGTCGGACAAGCCGTCCCCAAAAGACAGTGACGACACACACACACACACACACACACACACACACATACAGCAGGTGGCAGACCTTGACATAGCACATGTTTTCAGTCAGTGTGTATTTCTGGATGTGACAGTGATGAAGTGATCTCCTGCTGTTCACAAGGCCGATCTGCTCAAAGTGCCAGCCTGGACTACATAACACACAGAGAGGTTGACTGACTCATTCATGTCACTCACTCACACACACACACACACACACACACACA